GTACCCAGAGCCCGTCAGGCCCTCTGGTCGGGCCGCGGGCTGGGGACTCCCCAGGGGACCCGCAGAGTGACCTCCTCCCCCAGCGAAGGCCTCCCGCCGACCCCTGGGCCCTCCCGCATGGGGCCGCCGGCTTCCCGGGACCGTCGGCCTGGTCGGACTTGGGTTGGGGCGATGGCGCCTTCTGGGGACCTTTGGGGTCCGCGACCCCAGCCGCGGCCAGCGAGGGGGTGGAACGCGCCCGGGCGCGCACCACTCTCTGCAGCATCTTCCCGCCCCACCAGGTGGACAGCGTCATGGCCCTGTTCCCCGCGCTCTCCGACGTCACCAGGCTCATTCTCCTCATCCAGAGATTCCAAAAGTCTGGCGCACCCGTGGGAAAGCCCTAAGGAGCAAGTGCAAGCCACCGCCAGCGCTGTCCCAACTGGGCCTTACAACTGGGCCGGGCGGCCGGCTGGTTGACGGCCTGCATCTGGGTCGGCCCACCTGTGAGGCCCGCTTCTTTTTAAAGATGGTCAGAGAAGCTAAATTCCTCACCCTCAGCCTTGCCTTTGGTGGCACTTGGTGACTCTCACTGATGACAAGTCTGCTTGGAAGTCTGTGTCCTGCAGACTAAGGTTGGCTACTTTCGTGTTGGGAGTGATTTCTCCTACCTGCAAGACTGCAAGTCCCACTAGGCTCCAAGGGTTTGTCAGGAACCCTTCGGGATTGTTTTTGTCAAGCTGCAGTGGCGAGCCACAAGTGGTCACTTGATCAATTTAGTGAGTTGAAATGGAATAAGAAATCTCAGAGCACACTCCACCTAATCAGGTTAAGTATGTACAAAACTCTTGTTTGATAGCTACATGTGTGTGCTTGTGTACCCTTGGTAGCCATGCAAATTTAATGTGGGTCATGGGCAAAAGTTAGAGAAATCATTGAATTTTATTGCATCGAATCATGTTTAAATACGTAGTCAGTTGGCCAGTGGAGGTTTTGGCATCAGGAGATTTCACATGAGCTGTTTCTATTCTAGCCTCACGAGAGTTCTAGCCTTGGTATGTGGGTTCCACTTGTCGCTCTGAAGTTGTGTGGCTGTGCAGGTCTGTGGAGATGTGGCAGGGACGTGTTGTCTCGAGGGCCTGCCTGTGGGGCCTTTACCCCCTTCACACGACACACAGACACATACACACACGGACACATATACATCACACGCATGTCACAGAGCTAAGTGGTCCAGCACAGGCTGTCTAGCGGCCAAGGCTGCTAAGCCATACCTCACAGCAGAGGCCCAGTGAGTCAGGACTTCTCCTCAGAAACTTCCAGGTGGGTCAGAGGTGAGCTGGGATGAGTGTCAGTCATGGAGGTTGTCACCTTCCACCATTGCTTTTTTCCACAGCCGGCTATTGCTTTGAGTTTGGGGGAGAAGGAGTCCACCCATTTGCAATGGACAAGAAATTATATGGCGCTGCCAGAGCATGGACCCTGTGTCCTCAGGTGTCTCTGTGCGGCATCCACCCAATCACTCTGGGTTCCGAGTCCAGCTCTGCGGGGCTTGGCTGATTTGTTCATGAGGGGACTCGGTGGCTTGGCCATGGTAGAGAGTGTAAAGCACCTCCCAATGGAAAAGCAGATGCCAACTGCTGCAAGCTTCTTGCAGGACTGGCAAGAGCAGAGGGGGACTTCTCAGTGCGTTACTTGGCTGTACTGATGGCACAGCCCAGGGTGCACCCTGGGAGAATCTGCTGCCGGCCCTCTAGTTCATGGTAAATGCTGCCATTGGAGATACAATGATGCTATGTCTGCCTGTGATCTCTTTCATTTTTTTAAACCAGATTCTTAGCATGGCTGCTGCCAGATCTGTTCTTCACCTCTTTTTTTCCAGAAGAGGACACCGTGCCCACAATTGTACCTTATTATTTTGGGACCTCAGTTCTAAAAAGAGCCTATTCTTTCTAGGTAAATTGGATTTCCATCTTGGTGTTTCTTTTTAATTTTTTTTTTTTTTCTTTTGGCAAGACGAGCTTTATATTAGAGCTGCTTTTATCTTTTGGGTCCATGTCCTGACATGGAATCATTGCATTGATTTACTATCAGAAATATTTAAACTGCTTCCTTGGAGGACAAGTTTGAGTTTTAGTAAGCTGTAAAGCTATTTTATTTGGTTCACTGTGGTTAAGACAAGCACAAAAACGAATGAAGAAACAGCACATTTCAATGTAATCCCCTTTGGAATTTTTTTCCAAAGTCTTGGTATGTCTTTGTGACACAAAACATGGATGGGACGGGTCAATGAAATGTTCCTAGTTGCATAGCTGTTACCGTGCTCCAAAAATAAATCACTTTTACTCACACCTGGACTCATCATTGTCAAATTGTATATCAGTTTCTGTCAGGTCGGCTTTTCCCCCTAGGCTGGTTTTTCATGTTAAGTATTGTGGAGGTGAAGACTGAGGTTATTTTGTGGCTGTTTTATTCAGTGTTATTCCATCTTTGGAGAGGGGGTGGTGAGGGGGCTGGAATCCATCTTTTCCACTAGGAGCAGTGAGGCCCAAGGCAAGGATATGCCTTTGCTGGCTGTTCAGTGGGCTGTTCCCAAGGACACAGGCTGCTTACCTGTTTGCTAGACTTTTAAAATCCTCGTTACAGAATCACGAAGCAGTCTCATAAAAGCCACTCTTCTTGTGTAAACCTGCAGCAGAGTCCTTGATTGCTGAAGTCTGAGGATCCCAGTGCTGTGCAAAGTTTATGCCGGTGCAGCTTTCCTGAGGTCTCTAGAGGGCGGTTTGAGGCAGAACTGCAGAATGTTAGGGGTCGAAGGGTAGAAGCAAGGGAAGCCACCCGTGTCAGCATCATTCCACGTAAAACGAATCCCAACTCTCAAAATTTCACAGAGAACTCAGGTGGGGAGCAATGAACTGACTGCCAGCTGGCACAGGTATGGCTCCCTGCCTCTGGCAGAAAAGTCCCCTGTGGGGGAGAAGAGCTTGAGGAGGAAAGAGAAGAAGAGGCATTAAGAATGGGTGATGGGGGAGGGGCCTCCGGGAACTGGAGCATTTAATCGGAATCACAGATCCCACCATGAGAGAATGCATGGAGCCAGGACCAGCTGCATAACTTGTGGGCCCTTTGCAAAATTAAAACGTCGGGCCCCTTGTTCAAAAGTAATCAAGAATTTCCAGACAGTGACAGCAGAGCATTCAACTAACCCTGGGGTCCTTCTAAGTGCAGGGCCCTGGGTAACTGCACGGGTCACAGCCCGTGGAGGCTCCCTGTGTACAGTTACCTTAAAAGACAAGCAAGAGAACATTCTCCATACTGAGTGTAACAAAACTCTGAGTGAACCAAGTCGGAGCCCAAGATGAGATGCATACGCTTTATATCTGAGAAAGGCCACTCGCACTGGTGCAGGTGCTGATTCCCTCAGGGACTACCCACAGCATCTGGACTGAGTGGGCCTCCCTGATTTTTCCCACCCACCTCTGATTCAAGAAGCTAAAAAAGAGAAGTCAAGGGGTTTGGGCAAACTACGCACTGCATCGGCCACTTCCAAATGGGTGTGAGAGGTCGGTAGGGGAAGCTCTAATCGAGCAGCAAGTATGCTGGTTTGTATTAGACAAGGCTCTTAGGTTACAAGCACAGCTCATAAACCAAATGGAGGCGGCTATGGGGCTGGCTGGAATTAGGGGCTTGAACCTTTTCAGGATTCTCTCACCTACTTTTTTCTGCATGTGGGATCATCGTCTATTTCTAAGGTTCTCCCTACATAGTGAGAGCCATTCTGTAGGCAGACCTAGGCACATATCTTTCCTGCTAAAGGACTCAAGAGGCAGCGTCAGAAAAATCCTGGGGAGAATTCTGATTGGCTGGCTTGGATCATGTGCCGTTCCCTGGACCAATCACTGTGAGATACTGCCATTGGTCCAGTTGGGTCTCGCACCCAGACCTCTAGCTAAGATGAAGGCATACAGGATGAGGGGTCAGCTCCCTCCTGAACCCATCTAGCTGGTGGGGGTGGAGTGAGTTGGTGCAGACAAAACAAATGCCCACAATAATGTTCAAATCTGGGGACTGTGCCAGGGTTTAAAATGTCCCCCCGCCCCCTACTCTGGTTCTACCTGAGAAAGCAGCTGCTGTGTTTCTTCTCTCTTTGCCTTATGAGGAAAAGCCTTGCGTCTGCCCATCCACAGACAAGCAGAGCTTTCCGTGGGAGGAAGTTGGAAGAGCCTACTGCTATGGTGCCTGGGGTATTGTTGAGTTAACCTTGCCAGTCCTGGGGTTGTGGCTGTATGAGCGCTTAGGGGAGGAGGAAGTGTCTCTTCAGAGACAAAGGGTGATTGTGTTTCTTTGACTCACTTCGGAACTGATGCCCTCTAGAGCTCAGGAAGCTCTCAGAATCACAGCCGCTCAGCCCAGCAGCTGACAGCGTAGCCGAAGGGGGCTGAAGGCCTGGGCCAGCTTAGTAATTACTTTATTCTGAGTTCTTGGGGCCACAACCTCACCTGTTTGTCCTCACGGAGGAATGACAACCCCATCTCAACGTTCGGATACAGGAAAGGTGCTGGGGAACTAGACAGAAAGGTAGACGGGCACAGTGCTCAGAAGCCAGCTGCATGTTGTACTTATTGACTGACAGACGCTGGCTGACTGACGATGACTGACTGGCGATGATTGACTGACTGACACTAACGGATACTTTCTGACCGACAGGCACCAGCTGATACTAAGACCGACTGACTGACAGTGACTGACTGAGAGACACTGACCGGAGGACTGACAAGGATGGAAGTGTGGTCAACACCGTAGCTGCTGGGAGTCATTTCTCAACTAAGATTAGCAAACCACAATAGTTATGACCTTATCTGATGTCAAACTTACTCTTGAAAATAGTATACGTATAATTAAAACAAGACGTTTCAGCCTTCACGGGCCAGTTTCATTGATGCCATTCCTGAGGAGGCAGTTTAGAGGCATTTCCCCCCCAAAGGAAGGAAGGGGAGCACAGGATGGAGACGAGGTTCCCTTCCCTGCAGCACTGATTTCTCCCAGCCTGGCCCCTTTCTCTCTCCCCAAGCCTGCCTCTAGCTCTCGTCTCCTCAAAGCCCCTGAGTCGCACAAAATCCCTTCCTCACCAGTCCTCTGGACTCCATCGTTCCCTTAACCGAGCTCTTTTATTCTCCTACCCGCCTCCAACTCTTGTCCCCACTCCCGCTTTCAAATCCATCCCACCTTCAAAGCCTTCCTCTTTAGTCCTCCTCCATGAAGTCCGCCTAGGTTATTCCAGCACCCGTGAGCCATCCTTCTGCTCAGATTGTCCTTCTCAATGCTGTCCTGCCAGCGCTGAACATTTCCGACTGCTCCCGGGCACCCTGGAGATAGTTTTGCTCTGAACGGTCCTTCACTGCTCGTTATCAAAGTCTTTCCTTGTATTTAGGCCCGTATTTAGGGTCATGCACACTTGGAGGGCTGAGGCTCTATTTTTAACTTTGTCTCTCCATCAGCCCCGAGGCCAGATAGTCAAGACCCCAGGGTTGTGTCACCAAGACAAAACAGTCTCCAATCCCAACGGCTGAGAGTAGAGCTCGTTCCCCATTGCGCTCCGCGTCCTTTGTGGGTTGGCTGGGGCTGTGCTTGCAGAGGCC